ACCACATTTTGACGTCTTCTGTGATCTATTACTGAACAGACGCACGGCAACATGGAATCTACGTGTTTTTTGTAATAAAGAAACAAAACAAAATAATGTCTCCATCCACGCATCTACCTCCTTTAAATAAGTACGAAACAATTAAAAAGCAAGAGCAATTCGACATATTATGTTTACGCAAGAGGACTTTTTCTGTTGGTTACATAGCCTCATCTAAACACGAGGGGGTTCAGAGAATTCGACACAATCATTCAAACCCGAGAAGCAGTCGAGGGTTCCCATAACTTTCCAGAATTCTTCCAGNCCCCCCCCCCCCCCCTTCGTGTGTTTAGATGAGGCTGTGTAATCACGGAAAGTGTCCTATAAAATATGTCTCAACACTGCGCGCGAATCTAAAACATCACAACCGTGTCAAAACACTCTCATCTGAACACAACCACCGACCAATGAGAGCGCACGTAGTATCTCAATTATTTCATAAATTATTTTATAAAAAATATTATGAACTATCATGTTCAGCCCCATCACCCAACTGTCAAAGCACCATGACGACCATTTTATATAATCACGCGCTTTGCTCTTAAGACAGGGATTGTCGTTTACTACCTACATGGAGTGATGGTAACAGCCTTCTCATCAGTAACAATTATAGCGTATTGACGTCCCATCGAGCAGTACAGGAAATCACTGAAATAGTAAAGGTTGTAATATGAAGTAAACACGCATGCGTCAATGCCGTCCTTCTCCATGTGATGACAGATGCTGGACAGTCGCCGATCCATTTCTTTGGGGGAAAACAGTTGCTTGCACTGGAATAAAATTTATGCACAGATAATTTTTTTAATAACAAATTTCAAGCGTTCCTCAGCACCATCAGTTAATTGCTGTTGAAGTCATAATGATATGTGAATGAGTCAAAAACACTTTCAGGAAATAATTGTAAACGGGAAAAGGGAAAAGAAAAACTATTCCCGAATTTACTTGCTTTACTTGAAAAATCTTTGGCGCATGTGCTGGCTAGAGAATGAGGGCAACCTCGTCCCCAGGGCCCTCTCCACTTTTCAAAATGTGATAAAACTCTCTAAGACTTTTGGAGATTTTATACCACGTGACCCAGCCTTGACCAGGGTCTTCTCCCGACGAGCCGCCATTTTGAAAATCGTCGAGGGGAAGGCCCTGGGGACGAGGTTGATAATGAGCATAACGTATCTTTTTCGGTTTTTGAAACATCGTTGAATTCCCGGAAATTTCCAGTGACAATACCAGTGGAACAGCATTTTTCGGGATTCCTGGAAAGGAGGACAACCTTGCGAGGTATATCGAAATTTCTCATCAGGTATTTCCCTTCCATTTGACTTTCCTCCAAGAATTGACGGAATTTTGGGTTGAATGGTTCGCTTTTCAGGAAATTTCCGCAACATTTGTTCCTGTTTTCGAAGTTTTCGGATTTTTTTGTTGAACGGAAAGCGCCCTTGGTCTCGCAAGGAATATCCAAATAAGATTTCGAAAATTTCTTGCCGTGGCATGGTACACAAACACTTGAAAGCTGTACACAACCAACGTACCTTCTCGCCATTGTGTAGTTTGAGTGTTCGCGGAAAATAGTCGTGCTTTGCGCGCCAAAGAGCTGGAGCTGCCAATTTCTTCAGTCTCCCAAGAAGCAATACTCTCATTATCGCAACCGTCGGGATCTGTCGTGAATGAAATAAAAAATAAAATAGTTAACGACAACAACAATGAATATTGTAAGATTGCCAGTCAGTCTTCGGGATCTCGGTCAATGATTCCTGACTCTGATAATCTGAATTAACATAAACTAATATTTTGCCGACATCGAGGGCGTGTGGCAGGCGACGGTTCATGGTCAGAGAAGACTCGCTCTTGCTTGTGCTTTGGCCCCGCCCACACTACGCCGGAAGAATTTGAAAAACGTAGAGTTCAGTTTGATAACGCATGCCATCAAATGTTTTCCGTCCACTCTACGCCAGAGCAAGAGAATATGATCAGGATCATAATCTCTTGGCCGGAGGAATTAAAAATGCAACAATCACTGGCCATTTTGAATTTGTGTTTGAGGAAAACTCGGTCAGAGAAATCGCATGATTATCGTGACGCCATGGTTTTCCAAAGCTCCGTTTTATGATTCCCGAAAAGCCGGCGTTTTCAAATTCCCCCGGTTTGAAGAGCGTTTTCGAAAAGCTCCGTTGTCGTGTGGATTAGTGGAGGGTAGGCCTAACCGTAGAAATAAAGAAAATGAAATAAAGCCAACCCCCACCGCCTAGTTAGTTCCAATGATTGGGCAATTGTGCTATTTTAATTATATAGCTGCATCAAAATCCAATACTGCCAACAGATCTATTTTTTATTAATTTTTGCCAACTGTCCGAATTTAAAATAAACTGGATAGTTTTTGTTCGAACGTTTAGTTTAGTTTTGAACAAACTGTCCAATTTAAGAAAAATCTGGGTACTTTCCAGCAACCAATCAAATGTCAAGATAAATAAAAGAACCAAGTATTGGCCAATCAGGTTACAGCTATTATCACTGCCATCATACGTTAGCGAGCGATTGTAGCTTAAGTTTTATTATGTTTTGATAATGGTGGAATTTTCCGACTTTTCTCTCCACCTTTTTAACGTGTCAAACTTTCAAATGGAGTCTTCAGCTAGGTTTCTGAGAGATAGATCCTACTAATTTACTTGAGATGACGGAGAATAATCAGAGCAAGAACACTCAAAGAAGCACAAAACCGGGGTTAAAGTGTTTGACCTGTGGCGTGCTGAGCGAAGCCCCCCGGGGGGGGGGTACTCTCTTATATGGGCTATATAGGTATGTGCGGCCCCAAGGGGTAGGGTTTTTCAGCCGTTTTGGTCATAAAGAGGGTATCAATTTTGGCCATTTTGGTTATAAATTGGGCATGGTTTTAGCACTCTAGTTTTGAATTGGGTATGTTTCTTAGAAGAAGTTAGGTTAACTATATTGTGTATATGAAGCATTGCATATAAGAGAAACTTGTATTCCTAGTTAATTTAATGTGATTAGTGGTATTGTCATCTTTAGTTTCTTTCTTTTTATATATTTTATATATTGTTATCTAAGGTAATAGGTTTCATATATATGGAAATACCAATAAATTGTTGTTGTTGTCATCATTATCAATATGGACTACAAGTAGTCCCTCTTTCGCTTAGTCCGTTGTGCGTGACGCGAAAGAAAACCGCGAGAAAAAAATGGCCGCGCGAAATCCTGGTGGCGAGGAGCGCGCGAAAGGAGGGACTAAGCCAGAGAGTTTGACCTTTCACGCGGCCGAATGATTTTACGGTGTAGGATTTATTCAGGAACAATGCCAATGAGTTGTTGATTGATAAAGTGTGCAAGACGGTTTGGAAAAGGATCAGGGATAACATTTTTGAAGATTCCCGATCGGGAGCCTAAATGATCAGCTTGGATTAATTCAATTCGCCGAAAGAACTGGGTGCCTTCAGAGCACGAGCGCGTTTGCAGTGTACATTTTCTTTCGGGTAAGTTCCAATTTGGCTTAATGCTTTCAGTAGAGAAAAGCCATAAAACAAACTTGGTTTTGGGGTATCGCTATTCTATCATTATTTTCTGAGTATTTTATTATTTCCTGTTTCGGCACCCTGACATTGCAGTGAAGAGCAGAGCGTATAAATTTTCGGGCTTGCATAACTTTCGTGTACATTTGTTATCAAACCTTAGTCTTCAAGGACAAAGAACAGACGATCCGAATGACCCAGATTATGTGCCAAACCTTCTCATGGGTTATATGGAGGAAGGATGCTTTGAACGCTGCCAGAAGAAAAAGGCAAGGTACCTGCGTTGCCTTAAGCGGTCGGAAATAAGAGAGAAAGTAGAACTCCTCGAAGGGGCAGAGACCCTTCTAGATCTTTCACTAAGCAGTGGAAACACTTCAATCCAAACAGAGACATCATCCATGGATGACCTAGATTTATCACGTACTTAATTTCTCTCGAATGTTTTGTTTGGTCCTTATTGTTTGCCGGTTTGTTATCCTTGTAGGGTTTGTATGGTAGTTTTAAGGGGAATTTCAAATCTTCAATTGAAAAAAATGGTCAGGATGTGTAGCCTCCTCACCTTTCCTCCTCCTTCTCAAGGAAAGGAATTGGAAATTCAAGGGGAATTTGGATCTTAAAAGTCATAACATTTAAAGGGCACAACATGCTAGAGCCAGTCTTTAAAAATCCCATCCTTCGGGTGTCGGGGGGGGGGG